GGCTGTCGGCTCCGGAGAGGGCAGACTGTCGGCTAGCCCTCCTAGCCCTCCGGGGGACAGCCTAGGAAGGCGGGAGGATGGCCTGAAGCCTTAGGATAAGTTACCCCGGTGGAACTTTCCCGCTTTTCTACAGGCAAGAAGATGGAGAAAGAAAAAACGCTATGGTTAAGTAAATGCCATACATCTTAATACCGCCATCTGAAGCTCCCAATTCACCACACTAATATCACATACAGCCAAACTGCTCCTGACGGACATGGTTAGAGAGAAACCTACTATTCCCAATGACTGGATTTATTACCTTGGCACAAAAAAAGATCTAAAGACTCAAGTGCAGGAGTATTCACAAAAGCCCTTTTTAGTAGTAAACCACCGCTGCAGGTTCTGTGTAATACTGAGGCATCAGAAAACAGCCACGGCCCTATGACAGGTCACGCGGTAACTCCCTCCCATTAGTAACACTAGAGATACGGTTGTAATTGCATAGTCTTCCAGAACCACGAAACAAACCAGGAGCCAGCTCCTTTCCTGAAGGCCCAGGTTTACTCCGACAGGGCCCGGGGCTAGTGAGCTCCCTGCGTCAGCTGCAGTGTGACACTGATCCAGGAATTAACTGTCTCGACCTCCCGCATCTCTCCTTCACGACCATTCGGTATGCAAGTCACACGTCTCCCAGATCCACAAACTCATCTTCTCGTTTGGCCAAATCTTCTTCATCTCCCAAAGCTTTCCAGCCGCTGGTGGGTAACACGGGCTTAGAGGAATGTCGCTGCAGCAAAGCAAAAGGAAACAAGGAGGACAGGCGGGCAGAGTTCCTCAGCAGGCAGGGAGCCTCCGCCTGGAGGGCCTCCTGGGTGTGGTGTCTCTCGTCGATTTTCTCTTGTAAGCTCTGGACTTCCTCCATCATTTCCAAGAGTTTGCTCATGGTGGCCACTCTGCCACCGCCTAGGATTTGGGCTTCTGGAATCCAACGCAGGTAGCGCTGGGCCCAGACTCTGATCTCGGGCCCCTCTATGTGAGGCAACAACAAGCCATGGTAGTCAGTAGGCTTGCTGTGCCAGCTGTCATAGAACTCCCGAAAGGTGTCTTGCAGCTCATCAGAAGAATTAATAAGTTTACTAATTCTCTTGCCCAGAAGGTTCTTAATTAAATGATCTGTTTCTTCCCTGAAAAATCCTCTTTTGGGAGATGACTTAGACTGGGGCAGCGGCAAAGAAAGTTGTCGTTGATGCTTCAAGAGAAAACACAGATAAAAATCTCTGGTTAACATAAAAGGCAGTTACAGCTGTTACTGTAAAGACAGGGGCTGGGTGGGCCCTGGGCTGGGTGGGCCCTAATCCTGCTTAAACAAGTGCCATGAGACACGAGAGTTGCCATGTGCACACACACTCATTAGAACGCTGTTGCGGAGAGGAAGGGGGTTCACCCCACCTTGACCACTGTGCTGTAAACAAACGGGGGGACGGGGGGCACGGGAACAGGAGGCAGCTGGGCTAAAGGCACACTGTGACAACTTCCTCCTCTCCTGTAAAGAAAACACCAATGACCCAGAGAACTCTGGAAGAACTGGTTTGACTTAGGATAGGTCAAAGATTTAGAGAAGCTCAGGGGTGATGCTAAGGGAGTAAAATGTTTTTTTTGGTTTTTTTTTTGGCAATTTTTTGCTATAGGACACGTGTTCTCTCCAGAGAGACAGGAAGTGAAAAATCAACCCACCCCCCATCCCCCGCCACCGAGGGGATAGCCATGCCACAATCCCTTCTCTCAGGATTTTGGGCACGCATACACACACTCCCAGCCCGAGTTTCAAGCCTCTGGGTCTGGGACTTGAACTGTGGTAGGCCATGTGGGAGTCCAGAGATGTAACCATTATGCCATCTGCTGGTCTCAATGTTTCTTCTTTGAGAACTTCAGAATGGTCAACTGCTACCACAGCTCAACACCTGCAAGGAAGTAGTGCAGCCACCTGAAGGTCCTGCCATGGCAGAAATAACCTAGGAGCTTATTGGGCATCCAGTGGGAGTGCTGGCCTCAGTCATAATGACTCTTGTGGACAAAAGTGTCAGAGGCAGCTGGGAGCATAGGAATCTGAGGAGCTGGCTGCATCAGCTAGACGATCTTGCCTGACAACATTCATGGAGCAGAAAACGTCACGGCATTTGCATGTTTCTCCTCCTTGGTAATTCTCTCTACAGCCAAACAAGGTGTTAGATTTGGGGTGCTCTGTGAAAGGGCTGGAAAGATGGGGAAAGTGGTAGAAGGCCAAGAGGGTTACATAATGTGCAAAAGAGAAGCTAAACTGCTTCCCAACTCTTGCTCTTGAGATGTTGATCTGAAGAGAAATAGACAAAACCATTTTTTTTTTTAGAGTTTTTTTTTTTGCTATAAGGCGCGTGTGCTCGCCAGACAAAGAGAGACAGAGAGATAGAAAGCGAGAAATCACCCCCCAGGGGGGATGGCCACGCCGCAATTCCTTCTCCTCCATTCTCCTCTCGGGATCTTGGGCACGCGTGCACACACACCGGGCTTGAGTTTAAGCCACTGGGTCCAGGATGTGAACCATGGTCAACTACATGGGAGTCCAGCGACATAGCCATCATGCTAACTGCTGGTGCCTAGACAAAACGATTTTCAAGCTAGTCCTATAACTTTTATGCTATTTCCCTGTAAAAAGAATAACTACTATAAAGGAAAGACTTCCTTGTTATGGAATAGAAAAACAACAAAAATACAGAGAAAAAAGCAAAACCACCCAGAATACCACAACTCAGACATGACTAGGATTTTGGACATTCCACTGGCAACAGGAGAGGCAAAGCCCAGGAGGCAATGGCTGCTCTTCTCTGTGGTGACCAAGGTGAGTCAAGTGGGGCAGGGGCCCGGGGAACGCAGATAAACCTGTCCCTGTGCTTACTGCATGCTAGGCTTTGGGCTCAGTGCACGTGTGCTGATCTACCTAATTCAGATAGTCACTATTAATGCCTTATCTTATAAATGAGGAAAGTAAGGTACAGAGTTAAGTAATCCTACAAAGGCACCAGCTACCCAGTGCAAGGTGGTTTCAAGCCCAGAACCGGGGCTCTTACCTGCACCCACCTGGTCTTGGAAGCCCCCTTCTCTCAATCTCCAAGTGAGCAGAATATTCAAGGCAGGCCAAGGTGGGGGCTGCCCCAGGTGCCCAGAGCCAGGTTGAGGCCTGTGGCTGAGGCCAAGACTGCACACCTGAGCGGAATCCTGCCCTGGCGTGCAATTCCCAGAGCAGCACTTGACGCTGGCCAGCCACAGCTTCCTCCGAGTCTCCAGAGAACTTCTCCAAGGCTAACTGTCCACTCAACACAATCAAAGTTTCTGCTACCCAGCCCCACCTCCGCTCTGTCTAGCACAATCTGCAATCCCCAACCCTTCGGCTCCAGCCTCTTGCATCAGCCTGCTCTTGGAGGTTCTGTCTAATACTTAGGCATCAGAATATACTCAATGGTCTACCGCTGTCTACAAGGAGAACAGAGATATGGGCTCTAAGGAGAGAAGTTCTTAGGAGGTAGAACCTCAGTAAAATAAGAGGTAGGCCTAGTCATCTGTGAGGTGCCCTGCCACTCTGATCCTAACCTAGCTCTCAGGTGAATGCACATGCAGCCACTAGGGGGCACAATGCACTGAGGAAAAACTGGTCTCTGGCCAAGCCCAGGGCAATTATGGTCAAACTGGCAGAAAAGAGACCTGAGGAACCCTGAAAGGGCACAGTGGAGTTTCAGGTCATTCAGCTGCTGACATCGTGTCTGAGTACTGGCTCTGGCTCACCAAGATCCCCAGTTCTCATCAGAATGGAACCTGCTCCTACAGAAGTGACCAGGCTTTTCAGGCCCCCTCGGGACCAGGCAGGACCAGAAAGATGGCATGGCACTGACTGACACACGCTGACTTGCATTTACTGTCACCCGCTTTCCCTTCTTCAAGGGGAATGTTTTGGGCTTACAGATAGAGCTGGGAAATGCCTTTAAATCATTTATCAGTTAAAGACCATTGGCGTTTCAACAAATAGTAAAATCAGAAACAAATATTTGAAGCGGGTAATAATTTTTTTTGGGGGGGAGAGGTTTTTGCTATAAGGCACGTGCGCTCACCAAAAAGACAGAGAGACAGAAAGCAAGAAATCACCCCCTGGGGGGATGGCCACACCACAATCCCTTCTCCTCCATTCTCCTCTCGGGATCTTGGGCACGCACACACACGCGCCTGGCATGAGTTTAAGCCACCGGGTCTGGTTCTAGGACTTGAACCGTGGTCGGCTACAAGGGAGTTCAGCGTATAGCCATTATGCCAACTGCTGGTCCCAGGGAGTAATAATTTTTTTGATGTTTGTGATTTAAAGTATGAGTGAGCAAACTATAACCTCGGGCCAAATCTGGTCTGGCACCCGTTTCTATAAGCACTGGGACCCAGCCAGGCCTGCCAGGGCACTGTCTCTGGCTGTTTTTGTGCTACAACAGCAGACAGGGGTGGTTGTGACAGAGAGCACAAGGCCCTTGACAGAAAAAGTTTGCCAATTCCTGGCTCACAGGTAGAGCTCATGACGGAAGTCTTACTATTTGACACACGAACTGGTACACACTGAGAAAAACCTTAGACCGATGCCCCTTTCACTCAACTAACCACACACGCAGGCCAGGCTAACGGCCCCGAGTCTGCGCAACATGGCGACGGCAGTGGCATCCTCAGTGACGTTCAGCGTATGGCCCCCTCTCACCCCAGTGATCTGCTAAAGTCAAGGGTTCTAACAGACCCTGACGACTGACGTAACACACATCTTCCACTGTGCAGGCTGTTCCAGAAGGTGAGCCACATGAACAGACAGAATCCATGCGTCACTGTTATGCCTACACACGCGGGACTGTGGGGGGGACACAGGGGGTCTGGACGTATGGACATCTTACTTTGAAATGCGTGCCTTTCCGCTGGCCTTTGTCCAGTTTCGGCTTTTCCACATAAAGAGGGTTTTTGAGCAACGTCTGGGCTTTGGGTTCAAACTGTACAGACCAGTCCCACACGGTGAGCAGATTCAAAGGCTTGCTTTGTGTGTCCTGGCTTTCCCTGCCCTGCCAAAACAAGCACAGGTCACGACGGCTTCCAGGGAGGGCTGAGGAAAGCAAACAGAGTTCTGAGAGACAGGCACCAGGAAGGGCGCCCCGCCCTGAGGATGAATATTAATGGCCATTTCACTTTTTAAAAATAAGTTTCTTTCTTTCATGAGAGAAGGAGAGTCAGGGATACCAACAAGGTTTTGTCACACTGTGATTTTCCCCCAGTCGTCGAGCTGGCCAGGATCATGGGGACGCCTCATGTGTCAGCTCAACGTGGGACCAGAACCCAGGGCTTTCTCATAGGGCTCCAGTATGGCTGAGTGGCGGCTACCACCTGTGCCATCCCCACTGGGCCATTTGTAAAGACTCGGGCTACAGAGGGTATTTGCTAAAAATGTTCCGAGGAGGAAGAGAGTGAGAAGGCACTTTCTGGTAGACTCCTTGCCACCCACTGTGCTGGGCATTTTCACAACCTTGTGTGGTAGTCACTGTTTTTCTAATTTTACATTTGAGGTAACTGAGGCTCAGAGAACTGAAGTGGACTGCCTGCGGTCCCAAAGCTGAAACCACACTGGAATCCCAGGTGTGACTGGAATGCCACGGTTTGCTGTGCTGCTTTATCTTGGGATTAACTAACCCTATGAGCTTGGTGAATCCCGAGGTCACCAGGAAGCTGGCCAGAAGCACTGAGATCAGTTTAGAAAGCGTGATCCCCCTGGAGCACAGCCTCAAGAGGGACTGATGGAGGTCAGGAGGGAAAGGAAACCCTAGCGACCCCTCTACCTGGTCTCCGTGCTCTTTACAGAGCTGCACCAGGCAGGCGTCAGGCAGAGGGGAGGGAGGGCAGCTGGTCTGCCTTTGCAAAGGGGAGTTCGGAATCTGCTTCATTCGCCAGCTCCAACAGTCGCTTTCAGCTCCAATATCTACCGCGGGGCCTTGGCCAAGTTAATTGTCCTCTGTGGGCCTCAGCTTTCTCAGGGCTAATAATATAATACACACCCCACAGGGTTAAGTATTCATACCTAGAAAGCACTTAGGACAATGGCTGTTATACAATGTTAAATGAACGTCATCTTAGCATCGATATTCCTATAGCCTATGGGGTGCGGGGAGTGTCTTCAAAAGGTTCAAGGAAAATACCTATTATGAAAAATCTATACAGAAATTATACATTTTTTTCTACACCAGAGTAAATCATACTTGAATACCATATTTCCATGAGCTTTTTGAAGTCCTTTGGTATCTATGAGATGGAGTTTCTTTTTCTTTTAGAGAGGTTTTTGCTATAGGGTGTGTACGTTCACCAGAAAGATAGAGAGAGACAGAGAGATAGAAAGCGAGAAATCACCCCTAGAGGGGATGGCCACGCTGCAATCCCTTCTCTCCAGTCTCCTCTCGGGATCTTGGGAACGCACACACACATGTGCCCGGCGTGAGTTTAAGCCAGTGGGTCTGGGACTCGAACTGTGGTGGACTACATGGGAGAGTCCAGTGATGTAGTTATAACGTCATCTGCTGGTTCCAAGAGATGGAGTTTCTTTAATACTCAGGTTCCTAAGAGAGACTCTTACCATGTTTGTATCTTTTTGATGAGGCGAATTGAAGAAGAAGGTGCTAAAAATGGGAATGTACAGGCTATCTGACAGAACAGTCAGGTAAGTCTCTGTGAATTCAAATGCCGGGGGATGCTGGTGCACCAGCTGCCAGACACAATCCAAGAAAAGCAGGAACACAGGAACCTGCATGGAAACAAGACACATGTTACTTAGTGGGGACAGAGCCCAAGGCACAGTGTCCCGAGTCCAGGGGCAGCCATCTCAACAGCTGTGCACCAACCATGCGTGGGCACATTCTCCAGAAAGACAGTGCACTCCATCCCACCCCAAGTGGCAAATATGCTCAGCTGAAAGCACAAGCTCGTGGGCCACTATCAGTATTTAGAAGCACTTATCTATCACATAGGATAGCACCTATCTTCATAAAGATGACATATGTAAAGTCAGTTTTTTTTTCTTTTTGGAGAGGTTTTCGCTATAGGGCGTGTGCGCTCGCCAGACAGACGGAGAGAGACATAGAGACAGAAAGCAAGAAATCACCCCCCAGGGGGGATGGTCACACTGCAATCCCTTCTCCTCCATTCTCCTCTCGGGATCTTTGGCACGCACACACACGCGCCCGGCGTGAGTTTTAAGCCACCAGGTCTGGGACGTGAACCGCGGTCGACTATGTGGGAGTCCAGCGACATAGCCATTACGCTAACTGCTGGTTCCCTAAAGTCACAGTCTTGATCAGCATTAACAGATGACCTTTTGCAATCAATTATCTGATGAGAAGCAATGCTAACTCTGAATCCCAATGAAGTGAAATGGTATCTCCCCTGAAAAAAATTTCATTCTTGGGGGCCAGCAGGTGGTGTGGTGGTGAAGGCGCTGAACTCTCACATGGCCGATTGTGGTTCAACTCTTGGATTGGCAGCTTGCTTTCTCACTTCCTCTCTCTGTCTCTCACTGGTCAAAAAATTTTTTTTTCTTTTTGGTGGGGGCCAGCAGGTGGTATGGTGGTTGGGGTGCTGGACACTCCCATGTGGCCAACCACAATTCGTCCCAGACCTGGTGGCTTACTTTCACACTTTCCCTCTCTCTCTCTCTAGTCATACTGAAATAAATGAATGAATAAATAAAATTTTTAAAAAAGATTTAATTCCATATGTTATTATTATTTTTTAATTTAACCAGAGAGAGAGAGAGAGAGAAAGGGAAAGCAAGAAAGCAGATCGCCAGGTCTGGGACTTGAACCATGGCCGGACATGTGGGAATCCAGTGCCTTTAACCACCACATCACCTGCCAGCCTCTCTGGTCAAACTTTTTATATAGAATAATAATAAATAAAGTTAAATAATAATAAAAAAAGAATTCCATTCTCCTGGTAGTGCTGTATTACAAACATTCCACTCAATTATGATTGCTATTTTGAATGTTGTCCATTAAAAAAATGATAAGGGGAGTATTTTCATCCTACAGCCTGCCCCCACACTAATAGTTGGGGGTTGGGGAGTCCTGGAGACTAAGCTGGCCTGAGAAACCACCTTCTCCACCCCCAACAGTGAGGGCCCAGGAGACAAAGAGGATGGGACAGAAAGTAGATGTGGCAAAAATGGGCTAATTTTTTTCACAAAGGCACTTTTTTAACCTTTGGGCCTCCTTTATTAGCTGCCCAGAGGCGAGTCCTTTATTAGTGATAACAATACATTTCTAAGGCGTTTTATCATTTACAAAGTGCTTAGTTTTCTCGATTCAACACTATTCCTGCCAGGTGGGTAAGATACACGATAGCAGGATATCAGAGTGTCTCCCTCTGACCGGAGGAAACAGGAGACTTTAAGAGGCTGGCCAAAATCTCACACGGCGCTCGTAAGAGACAGTGCTCTTGAATCAAACCCAGGCCTGCTTCAGTAAAATCACAAAGCAGACCACCCAGTTTTCCTTTAAAACGCCAATGTGTTGTTTTGAGAAGCTAATATTCTTTTTTTTTTAAAGACAGACTTTTGATATAGGGCATGTGTTCCAACCCCAAGAGATAGAGACACATGATGTGAGAAGTCACTCCCTAGAGGGGTGGCCATGCCACAATCCCTTCTTCTCCAGTCTCTTCTTGATATTTTGGGTACACACGTACATGTGCCTGGTGTGAGTTTGAAGCTGCTGGGTCCAGGACTTGAACCATGGTCAACTACGTGGGAGTCCATTGATGGAACCACTATGTCATCTACTAGTCGCGCTAAAAAACATTCATATAGCAACTTCATTTCACGCCTCCTTTGATGCACAGTATCACGGAGTGGGAAATATTTGTGCTTCCTTGCAGAGTCAAGGACATGGACAGAAAAAAAATAACACTGACTTCAAGGGCTGGGTGAACATCAGACCAGGTCTTTCCTCGGTCGCTTTCCTTCCCCATCGGACTTAGTGCCTCTCAGTCTCTTTTCTCATCGTATACAAAAACACACTCTTCTCCACGCAGCATCAGCTCTCTCTGCTTAACACAGAATGCGAACCTCACCAACATTCCTAATCAGTTCCTCAATGTCCCCCCAAGACTAAAAGATGGAGATTTCTATTCAGCTCAGTGGGGTACAGATAAAGGCCACGGTCTCCCCAGGAAATGCTGAGCCCTTCAGGACAGCAGCCAAGGCTCTGTCCCCACAGCACGCTGTGCCAAGCTGTTCCACACCACACCCCTGCTGGCTACGGGAATCAGAAGTACCACAAGTCACGCTAGCGTGCACTGGCTCTGCAGGTAATCCAGCCAGAGGAAGTTCATCTGTTGCTGTTTTCCCTTCCACCAGCCAGCAAGCTGGCAGCCAAGGGAATGTGTACTCGCCTAGACGAGTCCACCACAATTTGGGGTTCATTTTCACTGAGTGAATTAAAACGCAGAGCAGAGGCAGCTGCAGGCACAGGAGCGCCATTACCGCTCACGCCTTAGTCCTGGATGGCCTGTGCTTTATTTTGAACAAGTTGTTCATGTGAGGGAAAATTTGCTTTGTGCTATGAAGTATTTTCTGCAGGAAACCCACAGTCAATATCCATCTATGGCAAACACTAACTTAGCAGAAATTGTAGGCGTCTCCCTTGCTGAGCCACTTTATATGTAGGCTCCATGGATCAGTATCACTCCCGGCATGCAGGATCTGCACACCCTCGGTACGCGGGTAAGTAGAGGAAGAAACTGAGCAGCTCAGCGGCGGGAAGAGTCTGCAACGAGGGAGCTCACCTCCTCTTTGTCACTCTGGCGGAGATGGTTGCAGCGATCCAAGAAACAGTGGCCGCCCATGACCCACTCCTTCTGGACGAGGCTCTGGAAGCCGATCCTGGTTCTACAGTGGGGGTCCATCATCACTTGCACCAGGGAGGAGACGAGGCAGCAGAGGTCGGAAGCGTTCTCCTCTAGGAGGGGCCGGGCAGCAGCGTCAAGAGGAAGGAGGGGAAACGGTGTTAAAAAGCTGCAGTGTTTTCACTCTCACTGAAAAGCAGGGTGCCCCGCACCAAGGCTGTGGGTTATAGTCAGGCTCTTATCCCCTCAAGGCAAGTGCCAATTTAAAAAAAAAAAAAAAAAGATCATGACCTGAGACTGAGAGACAGACTGCTTCTGGCCCATCGAGTAGGGGTTTGGCATACACAGGTACCAAGTGTGGATTTCCTTACTGAACAGACACATGGCAATACTGCAGATCCTCTCAGCAGCTGCATGTCCAGATGTCCACGCCATGTGAGTGGAACCAGCCACATAGGACAACCTGCTGCCTGGCTCCACAGACTCAAAAGCCCTTCGTCCTGGGGCGTCAAGGCCCCCATCAATGAACTCTCTGTTCCAGGGCTCAGCTGCTACACAGACTCAACCTCGAGAGCACCTTTCTTCCACTCCGAGGTCCCCCACTCACTTCTTCTGTAGAAGTTTAGTATTTCTGGATAGCACCACAATGGTCTCTTGCTTTAGCTCCAAGGCCCTTTCCTTTTCTAACAAACCCAGAGAGGCCTGCTTCTCCTTGCCTAGGTCACAGGAGGAATTCTCTTTGGTCTACTGCCCCATGTGTCCACCTGGAATGCACTTTACAAAGCCCATACAATAAGAAGTTCATTCAGGAACTTCTTTAACATTCATGACTAAGAGCACATAAAAACATATGTCTACAGTCTTGCATGGTCTTAGGGTGTTAAGATTCTAAAAGTCAGAGTCTATGTTCTCATGGATTCTTCTTTATAAAAACAAGTGCAGGGACTGGCAGGTGGCATGGTGCTGGACCCCCACATGGCCAACTGCAGTTCAAGTCCAGGACCTGGTGGCTTGCTTTCTCGCTTTTCATTTCCCTTTCTCTGGCTCCCTCTAGTCAAACTAAAATATAACAAATAAAATTAAATAAATACATATTTTCAAAATGAAGTGCAAGACAAGATGCCTTTTAAAAATGACCACAAAGAAGACAGTACTTGTATTAACATGGTTGGAGAAACTTGAGAATGAACTGGAACTAGGAAGGTGTTTATATTGTTACGACTCTTTCATCCTGACCCTTATATTCAAGAGTCACTATACACCCAGGAGTACACCTGTCTGCTGCAGGAAACAAGCCTAAATTAAGGGAAGTCATGAGTTGAAAAGAAAGACTTTTTGGCTCAGCTGCAGTGGTATGCGTGAAGATGCTCTGTTCCTCTGCTAGAACAGGAGGTTGCCTGGGTTCAGTTCCTGGTCCAACTTAACGGCTCATGCAGTGGTGTGCACCTGTAATCCCAGCAACTAGGTGAGGCTGAGGCGGGAGAATCCTGAGTGAAAGGCTGGCCTGGATGACACAGTGAGACACTGTCTACAGTGTCTACAGAGAAGATCGTGCTGGAACACATCTCTAGCCCCAGCTGGGAGGCTAACATAGGAGGATGGTAACGTGGTAAGACCCTGTCCTTGGAAAGGGTGGGGCAGTAAGTACCACAGGGGAACTACGCTGCTCAGCAATGCTGGATCCATACGGTGACTGTGGGTCTAGTTCCCCAGCTGTTCTGTACATGCTCGTGCTCATGATCCTGACTGGCTGGGAAGGATGGAGAGTGGCATCGTGGTGTGGGACCCTGTTGAGGGTGCTTGTCTTTCTCTCTCACTAAAAAAAAAAAAAAAAAAAAGAAAGAAAGAAAGAAATGTTTGCGGCCAGCCAGTGGCATGGTGGTTAAGGCAGCTGGATCCTACATTGCTGCTGTATGGTTTGGGTCCCAGACCCTGCAGCTTGAAAAACACATCAGGCTTATGTGCGTGCCCAAAATCTCAGGAAGCGAGTAGAGAAGAAGGGACTGTGGCATGGCCATCCCCTCTGGGGGGTACACATGCACTCTACAAATTAACAATAAATAAATAGGGGCTGGCAGGTGCCATGGTGGTTAAGGTCATACAATCAACTGCAATTCAAGTCCTGGATCTGGCGACTTGCTTTCTCACTATCCTTTTCTCTCTCTCTGGTCCAGTTTAAAAAAATATTAATAATGAATAAAATAAATAAATAACAATAAACTTAAAAGAAAGGAACATTTTTTGTCTTCTACTGCTGTAAATTTTTATTATTTATTTAAAGCTTTTTTGCCATAGGGCTTTTTTGCTCACTGGACCGAGATAGAGAGATACAGTGAGAGAAAAAGTGAGGAATCACCCCCCACACACACCCAGGAGGAATGGATATGCTGCAATCCCTTCTCCTCCTGGGATTTTTGGGCACACACATGCATGTAAGCAGTGTGATTCTCAAGCCACCAGGTCTGGGACTCAAACCATAGTCCGTCATGTGGGAGTCCTGCACCTTAACCATGATACCACCTGCTGTTAAGTTTTCATCTTTAAGGGAATCCTTCTTAGGGTGTTAACAGTAGTATACTCATGGTGACAGGAACAGAAGCTAGAAAATGAGATCTCCAAGGGGAGATGGCTCCGAGTGCATTTAGGAGTGAAGGACACCCGGGTACCTCAGCTAGAGTCAGATTTCACCGTATGCAATAGCATGGCTAGTGCTACCTGGCCTGGAGCCTTCCAGCCCCTCATCTTCTTTCCTCCTTTTCACCAGTTACTCGGTACTCGAATAGTGCTCTGTTCTGTGGCTGTTGGTTAGGTCTGCACAATAATATGCTTAGTGGAACTTTCCCATTTGAATGGAGATTTCTACGGAGCTCTGCACTAGGGAGGTGTTCCGTACGTAATGTATTAAGACCTCAGTGAGCCAGTACCGGGTGGTCCAGAAGCAGGGAAGACACATTTCCCAGTCTGCCCTTAGAACATAAGTCCCACAATCATGGAGAACATCAGGAAAAAAAATAAAAGCTTGGAGATGTAAAAACGGGGGTGGGGGGCAGCCTTCTTAGTCTGTAGCACTGAGCTACAAGAAACTAAAGAGTCTAAATAGCAAGTAGGATTTTAGCTCACAGCTAACCAGTTACAGCAACAATCTTTTCCTATGGGGCACATGTGCTAGCCAGAGATAGATGGAGGTGGGGGAGTAAGAAATCACCCCCTAGGAGGGATGGGCACGCTAAAATTCCTTCCCCTCCAGTCTCCTCTTGGAGTTCTGGGCACACATGGACAGCGTGATTTTCAAGCTGCTGGGTTCAGGACTCGAACATGCAGTTTAGCCATGTGGGATTTAGTGCCTTACCCTCCATGCCACCTGTTGGCCCTGTACCCGCCTTTTACACATTCTGAATGTTTATGCCACTGCCCTCATGTAGACCAAGTAAAACCACCAAGGAAAAGGAAATCACAGTCCATCAACTCACTCAGGCAACGGCACAAAGCTGTCAGACACTGGTATAAAAAGAAAAAAATCAAATCACCTATCATCATTTCTTCATGTAAAAGACATTACTAAAAGATTTTAACTTGAACCAACTGGAGCGAATATACAACAAAATCCAAAACATGAAGAACTGTGAGCTTTGGCAGATACAAGTAACTCCTTTTGGGGATGTAAACAGGCCAGCCAAATGTCAAGTGAACAAATTTTATTTTAAACTGTTAACATGGAAATCCAAACCAAAGCTTAGGAAGAAAAGAAGGGGAAAGATTTCTACACTAACACGTTCCTCTTAAAAGATAATCCTATTACATAAAGCTACATATATTAAAAACTTAATCTTGAGTGAAGGAAAATGAAAATCCTTTGTGCTTTAAATTTATTACCTAAAAGAAGAACGTTCATGTTTTGTGCTTCCAGACATTCTGTAATCTCTATTGCTTTTTTCAGGCAACGTCTAAATAGAAAAAAGAACAAAAAAGGCATTAGATCTTGAGCTTGGTACAATAAATAAGAAGTTTCAAGATGGTCTGAACTAACCTTAGGTTTTCTACCTCATTAATTTTTTTCATGCTACAATGTTCCAGAAAAGAAATGGATTTACCACTTACACTATTCCGGGACACAATCACCTGCCTATTAGAAACAAAACATTTTCAGAAGGGAATCCCAGAGATGAGGTAAAAATGCTGCTAAATAATTTCCAAACTAGAAATTCTTACAGAAAACTACCCAAGTCTGCTGGTGAGGCCTTGTAGGACCCATCAACACGCCCTCTTAGCAACATGATGCACATCCACATGGCTTTATTCCCGGCGGCCTACTGAAGGGTCAGTGTGCCTGAGAAGATCCGATATGCTCAGAAACCCTGTGTCTCTGTCTCTACGTTACATTCCCTTTGAGAATGTTGCACTAATTGCAGCTCTGACTTCTCCCTGACTAATAACCAGGGGTCTCCACACATGTTGTCCTCTGGTTGCCATGGCACCCTGCTGTGGGGCCCTCTTCCCTGTCCCTGGCAACCCTCACACTGCACCGATTCTTTATCTGGTTAGGGAAGTTGACTCTTCTCTGCTCGTCCCACATAAAGCAGGGTTCTATTCCTTTATAACGTTTACCAGTGCAATGACATATTATGTACGTATTATGGAACATGTAGCAGGCTCTTCAAAGCACATGCATTGAGCGTCTGGAGGGCTGTCGCTCCTTTCCACAATACTCACTGCAGAACTGGGAGAGAATACCACGTGAGGGTAAGGAGGGATCTCTCTCCTCCCTTAGCTGCAGCCTAGATCTCATCCTAGACCATTATTTCTGTTCTTACCTCTCTTGGCCATATCCTTAGTGTAACAACAAAGGAGAGGAGCTGCTGAATATACGAAGTAGGAAAGGTAATATAGTTCTATTTCCTGGGACTCCTAACCCAGTGCCAAAGCCAGAAATGACTAACATTAACGATGGTTTTAAAAATGTAACTGTGTAATACGAGTGTAAGATACAAAATTCAGCGAAAAGCCAGCATCCCTCTCATTCTCAATCCCCAGTTTCCTTCCAAGAGGGAGCGCTGCTGCCGCAATTACAACTGTGGGCCACTGCACTCGTTTCTGCAGGCTTGCCGTGCCTCATCTGCAGTGTATCTCCTTGTAAGCAGGTAGCACGTTCACCGATTTCCATCAATGTACACAGAGATACGCAACAAATGTAAAATCCAGCTGAGTCCTAACTAGAAACGTGTGATCTGAGAATATTTAACTATGGAATATCAAACAGTTAAATTATCTGCCAAATTGTCTATTACTTCGAATTTGATAACTGCAAAATTCATGAACAAAACAATGGCTTGAAATACCTGATGATATCAAGCCAGCTGCTACTTTCTAACAGAGAAAACCACTTTATATCTGTGTCCCAAAATTCCATACTGTTATCTGGAAAAAGAAAAAAGAAGAAAGAGGTCAGGTCGCTGTTCACTAACATACCTGCCACAACAGCCTGTGCTACTCGGGGGTGCGCTGCAGATTATCGGCCCTAGACCCCAAATGCAGAACCTGGCACAAGACTCCATTTCAAGTAAAGGGCATTTCAAACTTCAGCTGAAATGGTTTTTGAACTGTGGCCTCTAGGTGCATGTAGTAGTCAAAACGATCTTTATCACTGAAATAAGAAATGTCTACCACACGCATACAAAGCCATGGCCGACCCTGTAGTTCAACAAAGAGTATAACATGTTTTAGGCCAAAAGCTCCAACACCCAGGCTGCTATTCCTAGAAGTGGAAAATGCAACCAGATACATCCAGTGGCATGAGAGCCTGAGGGCGACACTCCGCATTCATCAGAATCTTAAGGTCATTCACCTTGTGCACCATGACACGGTTCCCCCCATACACCTTATAAAGCAGAATCTTGAATTTTACACAAACTTAGTACATTTAAAAACTGCAAACTCAAATCAATAAGAGGCAGATATCCCTGGAAATCCTAGGTGATGAGAATAAAACTAGAATCAAAGTCCTGGATCAAACAGTGACATGAACTACTCTCCTCCAGGTCCCTATTTTTACAAACTCTTCTGTAACACGGAACACAATCCACACCTCTGTGTCCCTTGTGAGGGTGTGAGATTTTGGTATCACATTCACGTTTATCACCCATGCCTGACATAGTCAGTATATGCCATGGGGATTTAAATAAATGTCAGATGAATGAATCCTAAAATAGCTAAGAATTTTGCTAGGTGAAAAAGCTCACATTTGGAAAAGTTACCCTTATGTGTGACAAATTTCAGAGAATAAAGACTCATTCGAGAATGGAGAATTGACAAGTAAACATGATGAGATACCACTAAGTTCTAAACTGGTAACAGTTCAGACAACTAGGCAAGGAAATGAAGGTAGCTGGGATGTGCATATTTCATTTTCTACTTTGTACATTCTGATTAACTGAATATTTTTTACATGGTAAGAAACATACGTGCCCACTTAAGGGGAAAAAACAATTAAGATATTTCCACCTTGGAAAAAAGCCCTAAAAGGAAAACAAACAGATCATTCACTTTACAGAAGTCAGTAAACACAGGCATGGTATAATGGTTCCCAACTCTGAGCGGGAAGAGATCCAGGTCTGGCCACCCGGAACTGTGCACTGAGGAGGGGAGAGGAGAGGACAATCGTGTGGTCGCTGCCACACAAGGAGGCAGTGGGGACAGGTGCGGGGGGAGCATGGGATGGCAGCTGGCCCCTCAGCTAATGGCACTCACACTCCATGACAGTGACCTTGAGGTTGTAAGCCTCTGTGTACTACCAAAAGGAACCCAGGGAAAAGACACCAACTTTCACCTGATCCACGCGGCAGGGCTTTCCCCATTGGACAGAAAGTTTTTGCTGAGCATTCTTCTCACCTATCAGAAACAGCTGTTTAAATTTAGAGTATGCAGCCTGGATTTCCTGCAGGGATAGGAAGTTGCTGGGTAGGTCTTCAGTTTTAACAATTTCATAGGGTGGCCTGTGGATAGTCCTGTAAATTCTAGGTATCAAAAAAATAACATGGGATTAGAAGAACAAACATGAATTTCAAACGGTTTGTTTTCCCCAAGCACTTACTCAGTGCCATGATCTATGTTAAGAGCTCTGTGGAAGTCCTTTCATCTAGCCCTGGTCTACGAGGTAAGAGGTAAAGCTGCAGAGCTGCCGTGCAGTCAGTGGACTGGGGCACAGAAAGGCATGGGGTACAACTATGTGGCCTAAGAGTATCAATAAACTGAGAGTCATGACTTGGACCAAGGCAATGTAATTCCAGTCTATTTCTTTTTTTTCTTTTTTCTTTTTTTCTTTTGGGTAGATGAATTTTCTGTTGGCCACAGGGTGCATGTGTTAGCCAGAGAGAGATATAGAAGGAAAGTGAGAATCAACCCCAGGGAGATGGCCATACTGCAATCTCTTCTCCTCCATTCTGCTCTCGAGATTCTGGGCATGCATGCAACATGTACTGGGCATGATTTTCATGCCACCCAGGTCGTAACTCAAACTGGGGTTGCCCATGTGGGAATCCAATGCCCTAACCACCATGCCACCTGCTGGTACCCTATTTGTGTAATTTTTTATTTTGAAAAGTTTCAAACATGCAGAACAGTAGAGACATACATCAGGGTAGAGGTTTGACAACTGTTAACATTATAGACATCATGCCACTTCTCTTTCAATGCCTCTGAAAACATTGCAGATAATGTTCTTAACAATTAAATTATACCGACTCCTTTCAGAGTAATTAAAAAGGACTACTATCAGTCATATACCCCTAGCAGGTAAACAGATAATAAGCAGTAAAAAATTGTAGAACTAGTACTGACCCATCCAAGAAGCTCCTCTGGATTTGTAAAATGCCATCATCCTGTTCTTTGGGCAGTGCTGACATTTTCAAAAGGGCACTTCCGTTGTGGCAGGACCAACACCATATCTGCGAGGGGAACAGAGGTATGCCAGACATAACATACACAACCCGATAGGGGATACAGAAGCTTCACATTTAAGTTCATACAGGGCAATTTATAACTTTCAGAAGACGGCTAGATATATTCAACTAAGTCAGGCCGTATTTCCTCACAATGGAAAACATGGATTTATTCTTTAAAAAAAAAAAATTCGTTTATTAGGAGACCAGCAGGTGGCGTGGTGGCTAGGGCGCTGGACACTCCCACATGGCTGACCATGGTTTGAGTCCTGAACCCAGAGGCTTGCTTTCTCACTTTCCCTCTCACTCTCTCTGTCTCTCTGTCTCTCTCTCTCTCTGTGTGTGTGTGTGTGTGTGTGTCTGATCAAATTAAAATAAATAACTGAATTAATAAAATTCAATAAAAAATAATTCTTAAAATCACTTACTGGTCTTTTGGCTAAGATTAAGTACGGTCTTTTTTTTTTAATTATTTAATTTTCTTTATTCATTCATGTATTTTAATTTGACCAGAGAGAGAGAGAGAGAGAGAAGTGAGAAAGCAAGACATCAGGTCTGGGACTCAAACCGTGTTCAGCCATGTGGGAGTGTCCAGTGCCTTAATCACCACGCCACCCACTGGTCCCCAAGTATGGTCTTTTTTAACAAACAAACAAAACCCCAACAGGTCTAGATAGTCATTCTCAGACTTGTTTAAGGTCTAATGTATGCCTTTTGACGTGACTTATCACCTAGTGCTTGTAACCTGAACGATCGTCATCATTGTCATCACCGGGACAGTAGTTAACTGTGGAGTACAGCTTACTACATGTCAGGGTTGGTTTTTTTTTTTTTTTTTTTTAAATTGCCAGCGTTTGCACTAACCAGAGAAAGATAGGCAGACAGAGGGAGAGAGAAAGCACCCCCAGAGGGGTACAGTCATGCTGCTGAAATTTGGGACATACATGTACATGTGCCCAATGTGTTTTTCAAGCTGCCAGAGTCAGGATTTGAAGCACAGTTGGCCATGTGAGATCCAGCGCCTTTAACCACTAGCTATGAGGCTAGCCTGTGTCAGGCATTTATCATGAGTTAATTCATTTAATTTTCACAGTTACTTCCTATAATACGTATGATGATTATCCCCATTAAAAGCAAAAGACTAAGACTTCCGGTAAAAGCAAGAGACTAAGGCTTAGAGAGAATAAATGAATTCCCAAGTTGAACAGGAAGTAGCAGCAGTCTGACTCTAAAGGCTGTGCTCTACCTGCATGGCAAAATAGGGGCGGCACCATCATAGAACGTTCACACAGCAAGAATGGGAAGCTGACTCCTGGACATACCGGCCTGGGAGACTTGTACACAAAGGCACTGCCTTAGGTTGTGACGGGGCGCAGAGATGACTTCTGAGCTTCTCAGAGGAGAAATAAGCATGCGAATATAACAGAAGGCAGAATGTGGTATCAGAAGAGAATTGCAAGGAACAACAAAAAGAAGGCCAAGGACGAAGAAATTGTATGAGTGAGCGTGAGTAGCAGAATAAGGCGTTTTGGGACCAACAGTTAGCGTAATGGCTATGTCGCTGAACTCCCATGTAGTCGACCGCAGTTCAAGTCCCGTACCCAGTGGCTTAAACTCATGCTGGGTGCGTGTGCGTGCGTGCCCAAGATCCCGAGAGGAGAATGGAGGAGAAGGATTGCAGGTGGCCATCCCCCCTGGGGGTGATTTCTCACTTTCTGTCTCTGTCTCTCTCTGTCTCTCTGGTGAGTGCACGCGCCCTATAGCAAAAACCTCTCAAAAAAAAGAATAAGGCATTTTATTAGGCCTTTCTTCTGAATGCCATGCGAGTTTCTGTGTGTATGTTTTACAGAAATAAAAAGATATTAGAATTTGTTGTGAGGGAATGTACTTTGCCAGTGGGGCCTAGGACAGAGGAGTGGGAAGGGTTGGATGGGCAGGTGAGTACAGCTGTGAACTTGGGTCCTACATCAAAGTCTGGCTAAGGGTTCGAGGGTGGCAAAGGTCCAGCCCTCATTCTGGTGACCAAGCCATCAGCCTTGGCTCAAAGATAAACCTGGAGGAAAGACATGCCTTCTGTAATTTGGCTGCCCAGACGGGACAGCTTTTTGCCCTCCATCTGCCATGAACAAACATATGCTAGATAGATACGCTAGCAGCAGCGTGGCAGAGTTAGAGATCAACACCACAACCCAGGCGATACTCCACACCACACCTAAGTCAGGAAGAGGAGCGGAAGTAGCCTTGGGTATGTTGGTATTTAGCACCAAGAGTACATCCATGTGGAGATGACCAGAAGGCCCCAAACGAGGGGCAGAAGCTCAGGAGAGGAAAGCCGAACTAGAGCTTCTGGACACGAGAGTTGATGACTAGTGAAAGGAGAAGAGATGATTCTGATTGATTTTTGACAGGGTCTTGTCATGTACGGTTCCTCCTGCTAAAGCCTCTCAGCTAGCTCAGACACCAGGCACACCATGCCCAGCCGGTTGAGATAGGGCTGGGAATCAAACCCAGGCCTCCCATGTGGCCCCAGCCTCCAAGCAACAGCACCTTAGCAGTACGTGCCACCGTGGCTGCCGATCCTCTATCTCCTCTCCCGGGGCAGAAAGGGTAGGCCCTTGGTGATACCCAACCGTAACCTGTTTTCCATTTGGGACACGACTGATGACAAGGGCCTGCAGTCGTAATTGTCTCATCTCATCTGAGGCGTGAAGGAGTAACTACATGTGCTATTTGAAACAGTAAATAGAAGCAAGCAAAGTTCCTCGTCAGAGAAAGACTTCGCAGGAATTGAGAAAAAAAGTCTTTTCCTGTTATTGCCATTCAGCAGTTTCTCTCTGGGAAAGGGCCAGAGCTCTTTGTATGTGTTAACAATAGACAAGAATTAGAGACTGTTAACCCTATTTATTTAAGAAAGAGAGAGATTACTCATTATTTGGTGTATCTTAAAGTATCTCTCTTAAAAGAGTCAAAGACAGAGCTTTAGGGGGACATCTACAAGCAGAGACTAGAAGCAGCGTATACAAGTTAAGAAGGAATGGGACCACAGAGGCCGTAAGAGGATCTAGAGTGTACAGCGTTTCCAAAGCTGGAATAAGATCTTAAACGATAAAAAGGGAGAACACCATCAGGGTCAAAAACTGCAGTGGTACTGGGGAGAACGGGGAGGCCCAAGGCCCAGTGACTTCCAGGAGGGTAATAACAGCCGAGGGGGTGTGGGTGGAAATCACACCCCACAAGAAATGAGTACAGAAAATAAGTACAGATTCTTTAAATGAGAGAGAGAGGGATAAGAGAAGAGGGACAAGGGAGAGGACAGGAGCTTGACTGCTAAGGAAGCGGAGACTTGGATGTCTTCAAGAAGAAAAGACTACACCGGGAAGAAGTAACCCTGAGAGAGGGAAGCCTACTGAACTAGGGATGAGGCTCCAGAGACAGCCATGTTCGAATCTGTATAAAGGCAACAGGAGCATGGAGAGAAACAATAGGAGAGCGAGAAGAAGGAAGCTGAGGGAGTTCTTGTCGCTGTCCCAGATCCCATGGAAAAGGGAAAGGTCACTGCTGACAGTACCAGAGTTAACAACACCACAAACTTAAAGAGAATGAAAAACATGTTTACCCAGGAAAGGATGATACAGGGACCTAAGGAGATAAACAAATGGCTGTCAACAGGACAAGAGCCTAGGCAGGGCAAGGTGACATAGTTTTCATGAATCCTGCAAAGCACGTCTGCTGCTTGGTTTGAAGAATCCAGAGCAATGTGCATCAGCCCTAGGACAATAGAGGTAACTACTCAGGGTTGGAGAACAACAGAGGGTCAAGGAGGCCAAAGTCTCCAGAATGGCAGCAAGGATGACGACGGACAACACAGGTCTTTACTGAAAAGGAGTAAGTGCAAGCCGTAGAGAACAGCCTAGGGAAGACCCTGGACTAGTGGTTAGAGGAAGCATCAAACATGGTTGACGTTGGGCATGTGTACGCATGTGCCCCAAATCCCAGTAGGATGGGGAGGTGGAGGGGAAGGAACTGCAGCAAGACCATGCTCCACTGGGAATGTGCTTTCTCCTCGCTCTATCTGGTGAGCATATGCACCCTCTGACAACACACACACACACACACAGCCTAGGTGAAAAGCTAGGTAAAAAGTAAACGGTCTAGAACATACTAAATGCCACTAATGGTATATTTTACGTTATGTGCATTTTTTTTTAGAATTATCTATTTTAATTTTATTAATTCATTTTATTTTAATTTACCAGAGAGAGAGAGAGAGAGAGAGGGAAAGCAAGAAAGCAAGCCACCAGGTCCAGGACTTGAACTGTGGTCAGCCATGTGGGAGTGTCCAGTGCCTTAACCACCATACCACCTGCTGGTCCCATTATGTGAATTTTTTTTTTGAGAGGTTTTTTTCGCTATAGGGTGCATGCACTCACCAGAAAGACAGAGAGAGACAGAGAGACAGAAAGCGAGAAATCATTCCCCAGGGGGGAGGGCCACGCCACAATCCCTTCTCCTCCATTCTCCTCTCAGGATCTTGGGCCCGTACTCACATGTGGTGCAAAACAATTTTAAAATCTAGGCATAGTTTTTGGGTTTGTTTTTTTCAAAATGCTGTAGGGGGCCAGAGAGAGGATGGCCATGCTGCAATCCCTTCTCCTCCATTCTCCTCTCAGGATTTGGGGCACTCATGCATCCATATCTGATGTATTTATCAAGCTGCCAGGTCCAGAACTCAAACTGCATCGTCAGCCGTGTGGGATCCATGTGGTTGCCTTAACCACGACACCATCAGCTGGCCCAAAATCTCAGTCTAGTTATTTAACAACACGTTTTCTGTGAACTTTTTGAGCCCCGCTCCTTATGTGTAATCTTGTACATCAGTGGTTCTCAAACTTCCTGGTCTCAGATTCCTTTACAGTCTTAAAAATTATTGAGCACCCAAAAAAATCGTCAATTAGAGTATAGCTTTGATATTTACATTAGAAACGGAAACTTAGAAACTTTAAAAACATTAATTCATTTTAAAACAATAAACCAGGGGCCAGCAGGTGGTGTAGCAGTTAAAGGTGGTGGACTCCCACATGGCCAACCGTGGTTCAAGTCCTGGACCCAGCAGCTTGAGACTCACACACAGTGCATGTGTGTACATGTCCAAAATCCCAAGAGAAGAAAGGAGGAGAATGGATTGTGGTGTGGCCATCACCCCTGAGGGGTGACTTCTCACTTCCTTTTTCTCCATCTCTCTCTCTCTCCAGAGAACATACGCACCCTACAGCAAAAATTTCTCCAAAAAGAAAAAAAAATTGCATGTTAATATAAGTAACATTCACACCAAAAAACTTAGTAACAAAAGTGGCATTGTTGTACATTTTTGGAAATCACCTAATAGCTGGTTGAATGAAAGACTAAGTTTCTTATCTGTTTAACAACAAAGAAATCACAGACAATGAAAGCGTAAATATGAGTAGGTTCAACAGGAATGAGAGACAGAAAGGAGGACAAGGTAAGGATATAGCCAGAGAGGATGAAGGCTCATGTGACTTAGTTCTTCTATTTCCGGAGTCTGCTGCGAGTCTGCTAAGACATACACTGAACAAGAAACAACCAATATAGGTCACTGTCAAGTAGGGGTTCCCAACCCCATATTCTGTCCCACAGGGGTCATCTGGCAAAGTCTGGATACACTTCTGGTTGTTATAAATATCATTTCCAAATAAAAAGTAAACTATCTTTTACTTGGCTTACAATCATTCTTGGCGATCCTAATGTTTGAGTCAAATGAAAACCTTACATTAAGAGGGAAGAAACCAGAAAGTAAGATGGAGACCAAAAGCTCTGTGTTTTATGAGTTAATGTGTGAAGTCCATCTTGTATAGCCTTTTTTTTTTTTTTTCTGTCCATTCATGCAAGCTCCACTAATGACTTCCAGGGCTGATAATTAGGGCAGATTTAATGACGCGAGAACACCTTCCCAGTTTCTATAAAGTTACGCTGCTCACTCCTCACTCAGGTCTTACCAGATGCTTCCCACGTCTCAGTCCCAAAACGAGAAATGGCTAAAATGCAGAATATTTAAATTTCACACACTGCATCAATGGCGAAGCAGCCTATTCCCACGGATATGTGGACAATTCATCTGTGTTTTTTCCTAGAGAGCACACCCTCTTCTCTAAATTTCTCTGTGAGGGGCTGAAGAACTCTTCCTCTCAAGAACTGATTTTCTGATGGTTAGGTTGTTTTTCGTAAAAATTATTTAATTTTATTAATTTTTATTTATTTTCTCCTTCTTCTTCAGTTTGACCAAAGAGACAGAGGGGGAGAGAGGGAAAAAGAGTAAGAAAGCAAGTCACCAGTCTGGGACTAAAACTGCAACTGGCCATGTGGGAGTCCAGTACCTTAAGTATAACACCACCTGCTGGCAAGAACTGATTTTTCTTTTCTTTTTGGAGAGGTTTTCACTATAGGGCGCGTGCACTTGCCAGACAGAGAGAGACATAGAGACAGAAAGCGAGAAATCACCCCCCAGGGGGGATAGTCACGCCGCAATCCCTTCTCCTCCATTCTCCTCTCAGGATCTTGGGCACGCACGCACTTGTGCCCGGCGTGAGTTTTAAGCCACCAGGTCCGGGATGTGAACTGCGGTTGACTACGTGGGAGTCCAGCAACATAGCCATTACGCTAACTGCTGGTTCCCCTGATTTTTCTTTTTTTTAAAGAGAGATTTTTGTTATAGGGTGTGCGCGCTCACCAGAGAAACAGAGAGACAGAGAGACAGAAAGTGAGAAATCAACCCCTGGGGGGATGGTCATACTGCAATCCCTTCTCCATTCTCCTGTTGGGATTTTGGGCATCTATGCACACACGCCCAGCGTGAGTTTTAAACCACTGGGTCCAGGACTAGAACTGTGTTTGACTACATGAGAGTCCAGCAACGTAACCATTACACCATCTGCTGGTCCCAAGAACTGATTTTCAAAGTACACTATACACCTCTCTGAAGGAGACCCCTTCAGGTGGTCTGAGAGGCTACAACTATTTTCATAATAATACTAAGATAGAATTCGTCTTTTCACTGTTTATATTTACAGTGATGTTATCAAAGCAGTGTAGTTTAAAAAAAGAAGAAGAAAAATAATAAAAGCAGTAGTGGGTAAAACTGTTGGTGACTTAGCACCATCAAGGCAGGGCCCTCCAACTGTACTGGTCATCACTGACACCACTAGCCAAAAAAAAAAAAGTTTCACTTAAGAATGTCCTTAATGAGGGGAACCAGCAGTTGCATAATGACTATGTTGCTGGACTCCCACGTAGTCGACCGCGGTTCGCATCCCAGACCCGGTGGCTTAAAACTCACGCCGGGCATGTGTGTGTGCGTGCCCAAGATCCCGAGAGGAGAATGGAGGAGAAGGGATTGCGGCATGACCATCCCCCCTGGGGGGGCGTGATTTCTCGCTTTCTGTCTCTCTGTCTCTCTCTGTCTGGCGAGCGCATGCGCCCTATAGCGAAAAACCTCTCAAAAAAAAAAAAAAAAAAGAATGTCCTTAATGAGGAATTAAAAATGATTAAGTTTGAGGGTCAGTCCCATAGCCTGGTGGTTAAGAGAGCCAAATCCCACATGGTCTGACTGTGTGGTTCAAATCCCAGCCTGGTGTCTGAAAAAATATGCTGGGCATGTGTGCATGTGGGCCCAACATCCCAGCAGGGTGAAGAAATGGAGGAGAAGCGACTGTGTCATGACACTCTCTAGTGGGAGGTACTTTCTCCCTCTGTCTCTGGTGAGCACACCTATACTCTCTGACCAAAAAAATAAAAAATAAAAAAGACTGGGCTGGTTCTATACCATAGTGTTGAAGGGGACCAGATGCTAAAGCCAATTGTGGCTCAAATCTTGGCCCCAGTGATTTGAAAAATACTCTGGGACATGTGCATATCTGAAATCCTAAAGGACGGAGAAATGGAGGAGAAAGGCTTGTGGCATTACCATGCCCCATTTGGGGTTGCTCTATATGTCTGGCATCCATGCGTGTCCTCAAGCAATCAAAAAAAAAAAAAAAAGAAATCAAGATTCCAAGCAAAAATTAGAATTTTAGAGAACTAGTATCTTCCACGTTAGCTGGCAATGTCCCAATAGTTGAAAACTTTTCTGATAAGATGGTGGTATTAATGAAAGTGATTTTTAAAATATACTATGTAATCAAATATGTCACTATTTAGAAAATCTGTATAACCTATGAACCAGTATTTCTCAAATGACCAATGTGTAAGTAGTATAAAATAAGACATGTTTTTAGAACTTTTCAAAGTATAAGACAGACCAAAGGGATTTAATTTTACAGAAAATGAAAAATTAATTGTTTTCAGATTCTTTATTGAAACTAATCTTTAGGAAAAAGTCACATCTTTTTTTTTTTTTTTGGATATGTGTACTATCAAACATCACTGTAAATTATCTAAAAAGGTTAGTAAATATTCCTTCCTTCTCAAGTGGATATCTGTACAAAGCTGGATTTTCTTCATATACTTCAGCCAAACCCCAGCATATACCACAATAAACTGAATAAATAAAACAAATACAGAAATCTAGCTGTCTTTAAGTTTCAAAAATTAAAACACTGCCATTCCTCTATTTTGCTGTTTTAGAAAGTATAGTTACTTTTCAAAGAAATATTTTATGATGATTTGTCATGAGTTTATTACTTAAATATCTAAACATTTTTCAGTTTAAATTGTTTTTATTTTATTCATGATAGTGCATGTGCACATGAGAGAGAGAGAGAAGCACCTTTGACAAGATCCTGTCATGCTGTAACTCCCCCTCGCTAGCCTTCCAGCTCCTTAGGATCCTGGACACATGGAAGCATATGCTTGTACTCTCACACTGATCCTAGGATCTGAACTGTGGTCAGCCACATGGCTTTCAGCACCGTAGTTCAATTTGCTACCCACTGTCCCACCAGGCTGAATTTTTAATATAGCCGATATCAAAAGATACAGCCTACATAAACAAAAACTCCCAGAAAAGCCCAAATCTGCCTTCTGAAAAATCAGGACATTTGGCTGCACCATCCCATATTCCCACATGGCACAAGCCAACTAGTGCTCAAGAATGCCCTAGGCCAAGCAGAGGGTTTCTCATTCACTGCAAGGGCCCCACTCATTCCCCGTCCAGTCTCCATGGGCCACTGGACAAGTGACTTGTCTGACCAGCTTTCCTCCCATATGGGGTGACCCTTTAGATGAACTAGCCATGTGCACAACTCAGCATTTATTTATAATTCTCATTCCTTTCTAAATTCCCTGCAGGCTTGGCAACTCCCAACCACCAATGGGAAACTGGAGAGAATGCCAGAGCTTGCTTGCTTTCATCAGTGACACATGAAATATGGCTCCCCTCCCATCCTATTCTGTGAAAACTAAGACACATTTCACATTGTTTCTGGGAGAAAACACAAACACACCCATACAAAGATTAATAGGGCAGGCCGAAAAGGATCTTGAAGCATATTACCCTTAGTGGGGTCAGCTCAGGCTCAAAATGATTTAAGTGTTAAACTAAGCTTGCTTTCAACAGCAGACAGAGTTGTAATATTCTTAAAGCTCTTTTAACATCTCTGCTAAAAACCTGAGTGCATCTGTGCAAACCTTAGAACTCTGTCCCGAGTCTCATGTTAAGAGACTCCTCTAGAGTTCCTAAGCTATTTCTAGATCTCTCTTCAACTGAAGACAAGCTCTTCAGTTAGCAATAATCGCACCTCAGATAAACCTCCTTGGCTATGATATTGCCACTGTGCAAAGCTGGCAAGACAAACTCTTCAGTAACAAAGCCAAGAACTTTGAGTAGGATGATTTTGCCAGGATGGGCCAATGAGCGACCTGTGTTCTTAGGGTTTCCAGATGAACTTACTGGTATGCCGTGACCCTGAAAGCGCTGTACATCCTCTTCGGCCAGAGGGGTGGGGATGACAAAGTATGCTGGCAACCTAGAAGAAAGAGATGTCATCAAGCTTCAGTACTACACTTAACTCACAAAACATGAACGTTTGACTTCAATGAACACAAGGGAGCCAAGCAGAATGTATGACAAGGACTGTACTTCTCTAAGCAGCGGCTCAGATGAACAGACATTCTCAGTTTGGCGTAAAGTACCCTGGCCATAGCAAGTCGGAATCTGAGCTCAAATCCTTGCTCTGCCTCTGATTCTGCACAATCCTAGGTAAGTTACTCCACCTCTTTGGGTTTGTTTTCGCTTCCATAAAATGAGGAGATTGGAAAATGTGGTATTGAGGGGCCAAAAGATAGCACGATGGTAAAACATGATGCTCTGTGAGGCAATCCCACATGGAAAGGTTCCAGGTTCAAGTCTGGAAAAATCCCTGAGTACACCAGGCATGTATATACGTGCCCATGATCTGGGGCTGGCTGAAGGCTTGGGGTAGATAATGGTGCCAAGGACCCCTTTGGAGTGCTGTCTCTCTCTCTTAACTGTCTCTCTTACTGGAAGAAAAAATAAACAAGCTTTAAAAGAACTTATGTCTGCTTTCGGTTTAACTAATATGAAAACCTATAATTACAATGGCTGCTACCCTAACGTTTCATCAAGTGCTCTCACAGCGGCAACAACAAACAAATATTTAAGTGCTACTATACAGAAGACCCTGTTCTAATTATTTACCATAAATTATTCATTTACTCTTCCCAATAAGCCTAAGAGGCATGTACTAGCATTATTTCCATTTTCCAGATTAGAAAACAGACTCAACATTGTTATGGTCCTTCTCAGGTTATGCAACTACTAGGCATATAAAGCAGCTGGCACCTGAACCCACACAGTGTGACTTCAATTTGTACAGGACAACAATTAGGTCTTTAGGAAGAATAAACCTATGAAGCCGTAGAACATGGGAAAATTACATTCCCAGAGTTACAGAATCACATATGTAAACACTGTTAACTTGTAGAAGCAGATACAGGTCCCTTTAAATAAGAAAATTGCTTAAGTTCTAGCACTGAGGAAAGGTAACTCCTTCACTCAAAGAGCTTGAAATGAAGCCCGATGAAAAATAAGTGTCCGTGGTGTTACATTACAATGAAAAACAATCACATGGTGTTTGTATGCATGCTGCATATCTGAATCAGATCTGTTAATTATCAGGTCACAAGGAAGATTTTCAGAGTTAAAGAGGTGAGAATTCAAATATGATCAAGTCATTAGACCTGTCAACTCAGAGGGGATGGTGCAACACATTACATGCCGCTACGGGGATGTGACCACTGAAATCCAGGCTGTGGAATACTATCAGACGAATGGCCTGATTTCTTCCTTCCACAAACTGCAAGAAAAATATGATGGTGTGAATAACTAGAGATTAAGCAATGTAAGAAACATATCGATCAGTTGCCAAGATACTAATCTCACTGAATCCTGATTAACAGAACAAATTAAAAAGATGACAGTGGGGCCTGTAAGTGGCATGAAGGTTAAGGCTGCTGGGATCCTACATGGCCTGCTGCACGTTCAAGTCATGGACCAGGCGGCTTGAAAATCGTGCTGGGCCCATGTGTGCGTGCATGCCCCAAAATCCTGAGAGGAAAATGGAGGAGAAGGGATCATGGTATAGCCATTGTTCTGGAGGTGATTTCTCATTTTTTCTCTCTCTCTGGCAAGCACTCAAGCCCTATAACAATCTGGGGGGGAAGGGGGAAGGTGAAAGTGAAATTGTTAAATAATTTATAAAACAATGGGGAAAATTTGAACCCTGCGGGTATCTAAGAATTAATGTAAAATTTGCAAAGTATGGTAATAATTTTATGGGTATGTTTATAAAGAGTCCTTCATTTTGAGAGATTATAGTATACTGAAATATTCATGAACGAAGCATAATGAGTTCTTCGTGAATTTATTCTTTATTATTTAAATAAAAACCTCCAAGGGAGAGGGAACTAGGTAGGAGTATAGAGAAAACAGGCATTAATAACTGCTCAATCTGAGGGCCGGATGGTTGCATATGGTTAAAACACAACACTCTGCAAGGCAGACCCACATGGGACAGTTCAAGTCCTGGGAGTATGGAAGGCACGCGCGTGTCCATGATCTCGGGCTAGCCCGGGCTGGGGGTAGATTACAACATCGAGACCCTGTTGAGAGGGCTATCTCTGTCCCTCTCCCTTCTCCTCTCTGTCTCTCTTGCTCATGGAAGAAATAAATGGATAAACTTTTGGGGAAAAAAGGAAAAGAAAAAATAATAGTTGAGTCTGGGTGAGGAATAAAAAGGAACTACTCACATCCTTTTGTCTTTTATATAACTTGAACATTTTTTTTTTATTAAAAAAGGTTTGAAGAAGGACCAGCAGATGGTGTAGCGATTATGTCACTAGACTCCCACATAGTTGTGCTTTGAGTCCTGGACCTTGTGACTTAAAACTCACGGAGGGCACGCATGTGTGCATGCCCACGAGAATGAAGGAGAAGGGATTATTGCATGGTCATTCCCTCTGAGAGGTGATTTCTCACTTTCTGCCTCTCTGTCTGTCTCTCTCTCTCTGGCAAGCGTACATGCCCTGTAGCAAAAATCTTTCTCTCAAAAAAATAAAAAAGAAAAAAGTTTAGGGGCCAGCAGGTGGTGTGGTGGTCAAAGCATTAGACACTCCCACATGGTTGACCACGGTTCAAGTCCCAGACCTGGTGGCTTGCTTTCTCACTCTGTCTCTCTCTGGTCAAATTAAAATAAATGAACAAATGAATGAATTCTTAAAACAAAACAAAAAAGGGTTTAAAGATACTTGGGGCCAGCAGGTGGCATGGTGGGTTAAGGGTGCTGGACTCTCACATGGCTGATTGCGGTTTGAGTCCTGGACCTGGCGGCTTACTTTCTTACTTTCTCTTTTGCTCTCTGGCCAAATTTAAAAATAATAATAAAAATAAGATTAAATAAATGAATTCTTAAAAAGGAAAAAGATACTTAAGTTCCTGTAAGATTGTGATGCAAACCACGTTTGAGAACCACTGGTCACTGCAAGACACACCTCATGCCATCAAAACTGGGAAGAATATTTGGCTTTTTAAAGTATAGAAGTGCTGAAATACTTCCTTATGTATCGGTTTGAATAGATGGTAGTAAAGTAGCTCTTTTATTCATTTATTATTATTGTTATATTATTTGCTATAAGGCGCATATACTCCCACTGCAGAGAGACTGGAGAAGGAGGGCCGGGGAGTGAGCAAGCATCCCCCCATCCCTGCCCTAGGGAGATGGCCACACTCTAATCTCTTCTCCATTCTCCTCTCAGCATTTGGGCATGCACACACACGTGCCCCATATGTTCTCCAGCCTCTGGGGCCAGGACTCAAACCAAGCTGTTGGCCATGTGGGATCCAGCTGCTTTAATCACCAAGCACGGTGCCACCCACTGGTCCAATCCCCTTCATCAGGTGTTGCCACTGAAGTCAAACCACATCACAGGTCACTGGCACTCAAGTCATGGTGTCCACTAAAATGATGTGGGAAGAGTAAAAAAGTCACCAGTGCGCAGGCTGCGCCCTAGCACTATTAGACCATAAGCTCTCCAACAGTGCAGACGGGATGAAAACTGTCCTAGAAAACCCTGCTGCTCAAAGAATGCCACAGCATAACATGGATGCTTGTACGGAAAGCAGATTCTAAGGCTTTCCCAACCTACTGAATTAGAATTTGCATTTTTTCTCTTAGAGAGATTTTTGCTATAGGGCAGATGTCCTCGCCGGAAACAGAGAGAGACAGAGAGACCTAAAGTGAGAAATCGCCCCCCCCAGAGGGGGATGGCCATGCCACAATCCCTTCTCCTCCAATCTCCTCTCAGGATTTTTGGGCGGGCATGCACGCACGCACACGCGTCAGCTGTGAGTTTTAAGCCACCAGGTCAGGACTTGAATCATGGTCAACTCTGTGGGAGTCCAGTGACGTAAGTATTATGCCATCTGCTGGTCCCCCAGAATCTGCATTTTTTTGCAGATTTATTCATTCACTTATTTTAATTTGACTAGAAAGAGACAGAGAAAGAGAAAAGGGAGAACAGAGCCACCAGGACTGGGACTAGAACTGTGGTTGACCACATGGGAGTGTCCAGTGCCTTAACCACCATGCCACCTGCTGGTCCCCAAGAATCTGCATTTTACAAGGTCCCTGGTTGATCCAGATGCATATTAACTGTGAGAAGCACTGCTCTAGATAGAACCTACCAAGAGGCCATCGTTTCTCAGCCTATTCAGGGAAGTCACTAGCGGAGTTATCTAAACTAGCTTCTCAGCTCCCTCTCCTCAGGACTGAGTACCTCTTAGAAGTCAGGGACTGTGCTTGGCACTGAGGATATGACGGTGAACAAAACCAGTGTTCTTGATTTCAGGGCTGTAGGTTGCAGAGATAATAACTAAATGATGATACAAATAAAAATAAGCTCGGGATCACGGTAAGTGCTATGAAGGGAGGTCCACCATGCAGTGAAAGCTCTCACAAAGAGACCTGAGACTGACTGATGAAGCGGAGTTCACATGCGAGCAGTTAGAAGTAAAAGGAGCTTCCAGACAGGATACGATGAGGCAGGGCCTGTGGCGAGGAGGTCAGTGTGGGCAGAGGGGTGTGATACAAAGTGAGAGCTCGGGAGGCGTTGAAGCATGAGAGCCTGGTAGTGCTACTTAAGACTTCTGTTCTAAGAACAGCTGGAAACTACTGAAGCAAGGCTGAGGATCAGATACACAAGGTGCTCCCTCGCCCTGCTGTACAGGCAGAGAATGGATACCAGGGGACCATGGAGCCAGCTTCTGCAGTGGCCAGAGGAGAAAAAGCATAGCTTTTCATTATCATTCCCCGGAGACAGAAAGGCTGGGAGCAGAATGGGGGTGTGTGTGCCTCCGGGTAGCCACAGGGATGTGTCTCCACGGAGCTAAAGCTCCGTCCATTCTGCCCATTTACCACCAATTAAAAGCTTCCCTTTCTACTCTCTCTACCAGGTATACTTCTGACGTGCCATCACCTACAGAAAAGCTAATGAAGCAATGGGGGGCAGGGCTTTTACTTCAAGAGAGATTTTTGCTGTAGGGCACATGCGCTTGCCTGAGAGACAGAGATGGAAAGTGAGAAATCACCTCCCAGAAGGGATGGTCACGCCGTAATCCCTTCTCTTATTTTCCTCTCAGGATTTTGGGCACACAGGTGCACGCACCCAGCGTGAGTTTTAGGCTGCTGGGTCCAGGACTTTATGCCATCTGCTGGTCCCTAGGGGCAGAACTTTTAAAAAAACAGTTCCAGGAACGGGGATGTCTAATATCAACATCAATACCACATTACAAACTAACACCTCCTAGGACAGAGATTTCTAATCTCTTTATGAGAAAGAAGTAGCTTTCCTGCAAAAGCTACCTGAAAAAGAGGAAGGAGCAGGGTAGGACTGACAGTGAAGGTCTGGGCTGGGGGTCAGGGCCCTGCGGGCTCCTCCTTACTGTCCCTGCAGCTCCTGTTGCGACTAGGGGGGGAGGGGAATCCTGTAAGAGCTTGCAATTGTTCAAACCCAAAACTAACCTGCTAAAGAGGCCTATCACAATCACGGACAAATGCTCTACTCTACGAAATACATTTTGTGAAACTATTGGCGGGAGACTAAGTGAGGATGTTCCAAAATGGTAATTTTCAGCTTTCTAAAAACAGATTATGCAGAGTCATTCTTTAAAAATGTAGGTCAGATCATACCCGCCTCTGCTCAGACTCCCTCGGTGTACTCGGAGTCAGAGATGAATTCTCGCGTCAACAGCAAGTCACCACCGGCTGCCTCTGCCCTCCCTGACCTCCCCACCTTCTCTTCTTTCCCTTGCTTGCTCCTCCCCAGGCCCTGGGCTCCTCACTGTTCCTCATTCAAGCCTTTGCCTTTATGGTTTCCTCTTCCTGGAACACTCCTCCAGGTGTCCTAAACGCAATCCTTTACTCCTTCAAGGCTTTGCTCAAGGACCGCTTAGACTCATGAGGCTTCTCTCACCAACCCTCTCCGCCATGACCTCCAGTACACTTCCTAACCCCCCATCTGCTTTTCTCCACAGTGCTTTTCTTTCTTTCTTTCTCTTTCTTTCTTTCTTTCTTTCTTTCTTTCATAATCATTTATTTAATTTTATTTATTGATATTATTATTATTATTTTTTAATTTGGCCAGGGGAAGAGAGCAGGAAAGTGAGAAAGCAAGCTGCCAGGTCCAGGACTTGAACCGCAATCTGCCATAGGGGAGTCCAGTGCCTCAACCACCACACCACCTGTTGGTCCCGCAATTTTCTTTTAATATACTATCTTCTACTTCTTTATTCTATCACTGTCTTCTTCCTTAGACTGGAAGGTCCAGGAGGGCAGAGGTTTTTAGTACTCCGTGCCTGCTGGAGTTCAGCAGTTGGACACTGCCTGGCACATGGTGGGCACCCAGAATTTTTGTTGAATGAATAAATAAAGTGCTAAAAACAAGGAAAGAAAACACACACAATAAATTTAGAAATGCCTCTAAAAGTTTGCCATTTAGACTACAGATATAAAAATGGAAACAAAAGAAATCCCTCTAAAAGTTTTACATTTAGACTACAGATATAAAAATGGAAACAAAAAAATAAGTTCGCTTCTGAGTATTTTAACAGACACTACAAGTTTTTTTTTTTTTCCTTCAAAAAGCTAGTATACTGCTGTGGAGAAAGAACCCTTATACACTGTGGTGAGAATGTAAAATGGTGCAGTGTCTGTAGAAAACATTCTGGCAGGTCTTCAAAAAGGTAAATACAGAGTTAGCACATGATCTGGCAATTTACTCCTAGGTTCGACGCCTAAGAGAAGTAAAACCGTATATTCTCACTAAACTCATCAGCAGCTTTAGTCAGAAGAGCCCAACAGTCCATCGGCTAACCAATGGATAAATAAAAGAGTAGCTCCATATTGTGAAATAGTGACTGGAAACAAGAAAGAATGAAACTCTGATATATATTACAACATAATAAATGTCACAAATAATATGCAAAGTGAAAAGCCAGTCATAAAAAACCACACATTAGATGACTCCATTTTACATGTCCAGAACAGACAGATCCATAGAGACAGAAAATACACTATAGTTGCTAGGGGTGGGGAGGAGGAAGGAGCTCTGTGGGCAAGAGAGGAGTGACTTTTGAGTTAGTGGGTATGGAGTTTCACTTGGGGATGATGAAAACATTCTAAGATCGTAGGTAGTGGTTGCACAACGCTGCGAATAAACTAACAAACACTGCACACTTCAAATGAGTGGAGCCTGGCACATGCCCAGTATGCAAGCTTACCTCTCACAGATCCTGTAACCTTCATTGACACTCACGGCCTTGTACTTCACGTTGCCTTTGGTCCGCTCCAGTTCCCAGCACCAGTCCTTAAGTGTGTCAAACATGACTGTATGGTTCTTGGGGTCGTTGGCTAGCAAGACAAAATTAAAATGACAATACAATCTTTTCATGAAGCCCTGGCATTTTAATGATGTGAAAGTGCATCCTCAGGCCCCAATTTCCTCTACGAAGCCTGTTTTTATCCATGCAGAATGAATTCACTGCTTAATCCTAATTTTGTCCCACTTTTTTGTCACTAACCCAAAATTATGACTAAGGCTCTGTCTTTTTCTGTTGTAGGACAGGAGTTGTTCTTGTTCCATTCCTTGCAGAAGTAATTTATAGCTCCGCTTTCATCATCTGACCATGAGATAATTTGTATAACACAAAGAGTGTGTGAAGCACTAGAAGACAGGCTTGGCACAAATGGTAAAATAATGAAGTATTTTTAGCCCTACCAATATGTGCAGAAGATGGCACACTGATTTGAATAGCATGTCAGGTTCTTGTCTGTAAACCTCCCTTTGGTCTGAAGATGCACAGCCTACAAGAGGACTCTGTGTGTCCTGGTGAATCGAGGCCACGACAGATCAGAAAGCCACAGTGAGGGTCAGGGCTGCTAGCCCTGGGCCGCAAGATGATGGCTGCCCATACCCAGCCCTGCCACTAGCCTCTAGGACAAAATGCCCCAGAGGATGGCTCCGGCAGGCCAGCAGATGTGTCCTTGGTTCTCTTCCAAGTCACGGCACTTCTTGCTGAAGGTGGCATGCACTGAAAGAGTTTCAGGTATTTACAAAAATTCCATCACAAACCAGAGTTCAAGCCTTTGCACATCTTAGAACAAACAAAAAACAAGCCTCTGGGAAAACCAAAGTGATACTACTCAACCTACCGGAAGTGAAACTACACAACCTACTCTGCTCAATAAAACCAGATCAGGGGCCAGAAAGTGGCAGGCAGTAAAACATGGTGCTCTGGGATCAGCAGGTGGCATGGTGGTTGAGATGCTAATGCCCACATGGCTGACTGTAGTTTGAGTCCCAGACCTGGTAGCTTTCTTTCTCACTCCCCCTTTCCCTGCATCCCATCTCTCTCTGGTGAGTGCATGAGTCCTACAGCAAAATTTAAAATATAATAATTAAATAATTATTTTTTTTTAAAGTGATGCTCTGTAAGGCAGACCCAGAAGGGAAGGTTGCTGGCTTGCCTCTGGAGACTTCCCTGAGAATGCTGGGCATGGGTATGCACATGATCCAGGCTGATTGAGGCTGGGGGGTGGAGCACAGCATCAAGACTCCATAGGGGTGCCATCTCTCTCTGTCTCTCTTACTCACAGAATAAATAAACTTAACAAAAAAACCCCAAAAAAACATCATAGCAAAAATAAGAATAATGATAACAATAACCAGTGCTTATATAGCATGTACTTTGTACTGGGCACTGTTCTGAACATATTACATTTTATTAACTCAATCTTTACAACCCTGTAGGATAGGTAATATAATTCCCTCCATTTTTTTTTTCTTACTTTAGGTTTTTGTCATAGGACACATATGCTCGCCAGAGAGAGACAGCAAGAAGAAAAGTGAGAAATCATCCCCCTGAAGGAGATGGCCACACCACAACCTCTTCTCCTCTATTCTCGTCTCAGGATTTTGGGCACACATGCACCAGACGTGAGTTTTAAGTGGCAGGGTCTGGAACTCGAACTGCAGCCAGCCAAATGGGAATCCAGTGCCTCAACCACCATGCTACCTGGTGGCCTTACATCATACAGATGAAGCACAGGAAGGTCAAGTAATTTGCCCAGGTCACAGAGCTAAGCAATGGTGGAACTGGAATCAAACCTAGGCAACTATAAAGGAAATTTCCATAAAGTACTAACATAAAAACAAAACCAACAAATTTCCCCATGGACTAAATAAGAACACTGTCATTCAAATATAGTAGGCTATTTTCTTAGGAATGTAGGCAGGTCTTGCCTTAAAGTGCCATGTCATAAGCATTTAGGACTTTTTGGCCAGAACATATTTGTGAGTTGTTAAGCCAGGAGACAGTTAAAGGTATTCAGCTCACCAAGCACCCACCTCTACAAGCCTCTGCTCAATGAAAAAGCTAACTGGTCAGTTAGCATGTATTAGTTACAACTTTTACTTCTCAAAAAAGTAGGGGTCATTAGGAAGGAAGGTGATGAAGGATCGAATTAAAATAGTAAAAAGAAGCTATGCATCCTGGTCTCTGGCACAAAACACCACCAGAAGGTAAAGAAACCGCCAGGGTCGACTGAGGTAAGGGTTTTGGCATGCTGATCAACATATGTTGGCAAGCCAAGAAACTGTTCTATGCCGCTGAGTCCAGATCAAGAATCAGCATATAAGGAAGAGGCAGAATTCCTAAAAATAGAGTAGGATTTTTCAGATGTGAACCCAATAAACATTTATATAAGTTACAGTGGTAACGAACAAAAACGTCATATTTGTGTCTCTCATACAGACACAAGGTATGAGCCAGCACCCAGTTATCAGCACCTGTACATATATCAACAGCAAAAAGATCCGTCATTCACTAAGATGAACTCACTAAACTGGGGAGAAACTTTATGGTCAGCCTCATAATTGTGTGCAGTGTATTTTATGTCAACGTAATTCTCTCCGAACAATAAATAGTTTTCTTCTCAATTAACCCTCATTCAATAACCGTACCCTCAGGGCTATGCATTTAACAATTTATAACCTTCATGAGACTTCAAGGGGAACATTAACACTGATGGCTCTACTTATTTTTATTTTATTTTTAGAGAGAAATTTTGCTATAGGGCATGTACACTTATTGGAGAGACAGAGAGAGAGAAAGCAAGAAATCACCCCCCAGAGGTGATGGCCATGCTGCAATCCCTTCTCCTCCATTTTCCTCTTGGGATTTTGGGCATGCATGCACATGTACCCAGCATGAGTTTCAAGCCACCAGGTCCAGGATCCGAACCATGGTCAGCTACGTGAGAGTCCAGTCATGTAACCATTACGCCACCTGCTGGTCCCACTAATGGCTTTATTATTATTGCTAGATAGTACATATGCTCACTAGAGAGAGAGAGAACCTCTCAACAGGGCATGGTCGTGCTGCAACCGTTGTTCCTCCATTTCTTCTTCCTGTCAGAATTTGGACACACACATACGTGCCTGGGGCCAAGACTTGAACTGCAGTTGGCCACGTGGGATCCAGCTTCCTAAACTGCTGAGCCACAGGATATGCCTAACACTGCTGTTTGCTTTTGTTTTTTATTGTATTGTAAGAGGGTGCAGGCACTTGCCAAAGAGAGAGAGAGAGGGAGAAACCACCTCCCAACAAGGTGTGGTCACACTGCAATCCTTTCTCCTCCACTTCTCCATGCTATTGGGACTTTGGACACACATGCACACAAACCCAGTGTGTTTTTCGAGCCACTGAGGCTGGGACTTGAACTGCGGTCTGCCACCCCCCTTCACAGCTGAGCCATGGGGCACAGATGACACTGCTGATCTTAAAATGAAACAGCAAAAGCCCCAAGCATTAAGTGATATCCCCAGGATCACACAACTAGAAATCAGCTGGGAAACTATGAATTCAGGTGGGACAGAACCAAAACCCCTACTTTTCCTAGTAAGTCATAACCATTCCCTAAATGCAATGTGCTCTCTGAGATACCTCCATCTCTGCACATGCCCATCCTTCTGCTTGGACTCTTACCCTGAGCACAGCAGATGCTCCCGCATC